TATTATCATATGTTGACTCAAAAAAAAAAAAAATCTTAATTTCTAAAGCAAACAGTAACCAAATGCAATATTTCACACTGCACCATTAGGTATAAAGCACTTCCTTGTTGTTTCATTTTATAACTTTGACGGCACTTTTAATTTGGGACATAATTAATCCACCTATACTTTGTCCACAAAGGAAAAAAGCAGAATGACAACAGCAACAATATACGTATTGTTTGTTATAAAATCATACAAAGAAGTTTTAAAGAATAGCCATTTTAAGCTATGGGAACACATACACGTGTTTACAGAATTGAAGGATCCACAGTAAAAACTCCTTTACTTCTAAAATTTGAAATCGGAATGTTCCCACTCTACCAAAGATGATTTTTCTTTTTCTAATTTTCTGTGAAGGCAGGAGCTGTTATACTCTTAGACGTACGGTTACCCTGGCACCACTAGAGATCTCAATAAAAAGCACATCAAGTACAAAAATGCAACACCATAAAACATTAATCCAAACAAAAAAGGTCATATCATGTGGTCTCCTATATACAAATTTTCATTAACAAAGGAATTTCAATGCTTTTCTTGTCATAACTAGATAACGAGAGTGTTAATGCAAGCTTGAAACATATTTATGTACTACTCATTACTCATAGTCAGCTTTTGACAAAAGGGTTTTTTGGTTTTTGGTAAATACTTAACGCTAAACAAAAATATCGTAAAATTTTTAAATCAGCACTCACGGAAACAATTTTTCTATACAATGTTTATAACCATGTAGGCTCACAAAATGAGCTATTTTTACAATCATTTATTATGGTAACATCAACAGCTATAGACAAAATTCATCTTATGAAGCCCTAACAATACTGTCTGGACTTTATGTGCAAGTTTCAGTCATTTGGCTTTCTCTTTTTTTTCTTCCCCATTGTGATTTACCCGCTTCACACGTTCCACAACTGTGCTGCAATTTTCCCTTTAGTATCTATATCCAAAGATCAGACTCGAATGAACACCCTTCTCACAAACCATTTCCGGTACCATTTCTGGAGAGCCAGAAAGCAGCTGTGGCACTACAGAGCAGCCAGACAGCACTTCTCAGCTCTAACCTCATGTGAGGGATCCTTCCTCATCATCATCACATGGCACGTGGGCTGGTGCACATGACCCAGTGCAAAACACACTGAGTAAATAAAAAGTTTTTCTAAAAAGTAATCTGTTTAAAAAGCAGTCATTCACTTACTGTATTATAAAGTTCTTCCAGTCTGGGAATTGTAAGAAACTTGTGCATGCTTACTCCGTTTTCAATCAGAAGTTTCACAAACGCTACTCTATCCATCACAAGGGCATCTAGCATAGCCTGTTCCAGAGAGCCAACCTACAACAAATGAGCACAGGGTAAAGGCTGGAGAGAATCTGTAAAAATGCACCATCAGAGCATGAGTATACTTAGGTTACAAATTGATCTCACTCCTTTACAAGGGGTAGATCCTTTTATGTCCACAAAGATGCCACCCTGGGTTCAGGAAATCACCTGAGCTTCACACAATTACAGGATGAAAGAATATTCCGAGGACTTATCACGGTATGTCTTCTCCGGTCTTATACTCTCCCACAGAGATCTCTTATTGACATGCTCAGAGGCAGTATACTGAACTAAACTGACATTTAGTCTAACACAGTACAGCTGTTCTCATATATCGACACTGGATGAAAAGTAGGAAGATATAAAACATTTAAAGCACAATTTGCTTCAAAGACAAATACTCAAAACTATTATCAACGAGCCTTCCAGCGTGTAGACTGTACAATCCTGTAAGATTGCATTTTATCTTTACAGTAATATGGGAAAAGTCAAGATCGACGATGTTGTTTTCAAACTAATTTACAAACTACAAAAAACAGGTACTTCCCCCCTCTCTCTGAAAGGCACAGCAGTGCTGTCAACCATAGTTAATATATGTATTTTACTAGCTTCTTTTTTAAGAATGTTACGTGATCAAATAACTGTAAAAAAAAAAAAAAGAACGAACCTCTGAACAACATGAATTCAGCTTTCATCTTCTGCAATATCTTTTCTCCCCTAGTCACTCGAAACGCTTAGAACATTTCTAAAATTCTTGGACTATTTTTAAGCACACAATAATAAAATAGCTATAATTCTATCAAGTATTCAGAAATTACTGTCCTAAAATAAGCATGTCATTATTCTACAGACTATTTTAAGTCAAAAGACTCATTCTTTGCAGTAAGTTGAGCTTCTGTCTAAGAAAAGGACATTCTGCTTAATCTAGACTGCACACATACCAGCCATTGTTGCCCATAAACAAAAACATGATTTTTGGCAATGTCAACTCTATCCCACGCAAGTGTAAGGACAAGCTGGTCAAATGCAGACGCATTCGTGCCTTAAGAAACAAAACACAATGAAAAATTTTAAATGAATTAAAATTTAAGACAGTAAACATTCTTACTTCTTAAAGTGGACAAATCAAATAATCTACCGCAGAGTTATACTGTAAATTTTATCAGTTATGACATAGATCATAACACTTTATAATGAGAAAACATGGTAGATAATTATTTGCTTAAAAAAATAAAGATTCTTACAGATAATAATATTTTATAAATATTCCAGCATATAATCACCAAATTACAATAGCTGGGGATTCTAAATGCTCATTAAATGTAAAGGCTCACCTTTTAGCAACGCTGTAAGTATCGCAACATCAATGTCTTGATGTTCGTCTGACCCAATGTGAAAAACAGTAATCTGTTCAAAACAAAATACATTTATTTTCAAACACGTGTTCTTCCTATTTTATCGGACAAAGGTGATTAGCCCCAGTCTTTTATATCAGGAATTGAAATACATTGAAAAAAATCTGCTTATCTTGAACGCATTTTAAACTACCCTCAATTTAAATCTTACCCTCACTGTGTACTCTAGAGTGTTTTCCTAAGTGGGGGCCACAACAGAAAATCTTTTATTATAAAAGGAAAGCAGAAACCCTGCACACTCTTCAATCTCTTTTCTCACTATGATGACAATTCTTTATTGGCTATCACAATATCTCTATTAGTTACCACACAGTTCACCTCCCCGCTTCATTCTGGACTATAAGATTAATCTGCCAGCAAATGTGTTTCGCTGAACATGTCAACTTAAAAACTCAGAACAGGATAATAAGGTCTCCATATGAGACACCAGTACCTGAATTCAGGCTATAGGCAAAGCTCTATTAAGTGCTTTTACTTTAAGCACTCAGTGATAGTAGTCCTTCATTTGTACACTAATAACTAAAAGACAAAGCAGAATACCCTAAGGCTTTCAAAAATATATATATACTAAAATAAAGACAAGAAAGAAAGGAAAATAACCCACAAACAAAATGTACAGAACTATAAACAAAATAGAATCCTATCGGTTGAAAACAAATAGGATTGGAAATAAGGAAGCAACTGCAATTACCAGAAGTAATGCCAAGAATGAAGTCTCTCTTGGCCATGAGATGAAGTATACAAGAAAACTGGATTTGACTGCCTTCTGCCTTTGGAAAGATACATTATGGCCAGAAAAGATGTAAGGACTTGATCGTAGACAACATTTTGAGATGGGATTTCATTTTAGATCCACAAATGCATTTACCTCGCAGAACGATTTTCTGCAGTGGTAGCTACTTACAAGTTCTTTTTTTTTCATGCATTCCAGCAATGTCTGAAATAGATGAACCGCTTCACTTTGACCAAAATTAAATGTCTTTTTGATGGTTGAAATGATTTCGGGCTCTGCACCCTCAGGAACATTTCTGAGATTATAACAAACAGAGAAACATAAGTTGTTATGTATGAACAGTAAGCATGGCCACACGTTTAATTAGCCTGAACATGTCCATTCAAAGTCCTGCCGTTTATAAGCTTATTATTGTTTCAGTGGTAAAAGCTTGGGTAACCATTATAAAGTAATATAGGTTCCTTAATCTAAGACTTTCTGCTACTGCCTCCCTAAAGGTAACTCAACCTCTCTCCATTTCCTTCCCTAACTCTCAGAAATGAGATACTCTCAGATACTCCCCACTCTGAGTAAGACCTACACCTGATCTAGCTCTCAGTAGACAAACCTGTCTGGTTTAGCGCTACGTTTATCTCCTCCTGCTGGTTCTGAGGCAGTCCCTGCAGCTAGTATCCAACAGGTTTAATGATTTAAGCACATCTGGCAACTAACCAGAAGCCGCTAAGGACTGTGAACCATAAACAAGTCACATTCTGTTTTTGAAACTACAAACAGACAATGGTTTTCTGCACTAGCAAAAGTTTTTTTAAAAAGTTAAATTTTAACACTACTCAGAAGAAACAGTATAGATACTTTTCCTGTTCCCTTTTCAGGGAAGCTGCCGCTATGCAATAGCTAACTGTATACAAGTGTTTCCTTTCAATTAAGTGACATTTTCAAGCAATTTAGTAATGTATTCAGGATATATTATTCTCACATCTCTGGAAGGGAAGGTCAGCTCTGACTTCTCTTGAGCTAAGCCGTATGTTGCGCATACTTAAGAACAGTCACGTTAGTCACTTAGCAAGTTACTGTTGCGTCGTTTAAACCTCCAGTCAAGCAGACAGAGCATTTAAATTGATTGTTGGGTGCTCTAGTTACAACAGTGTAACATAATTACTGCACATTAGTGAAGTTACAGGCAAGATTTTTCCCCTTATTTAGGATATAGGCGTATCTACTTTTCCTCTCCTTTTGTAAGTACTGCTAAAGCGAGCATATCGTGCCAGTTGCACCAAATTCTGTAGATGGTCTGTGGGAGGAACTCAGAACTAGAAAAAAAGAAATCTCAGTCTTTAGCCAAAGGGATTAATCGCAGCGAACCTGGAAAACTGTATCTATACTCTATTTTTAGCTTTTGTCTTTCCACAGATACAGCTCTTGCACAAATTCATTAAAGGACTACTCTCAAAAGACATCTCCACATGACTGATAGTTTGACTAGAAGTACTACGACTTACCCTCCCTCCTCCGTTTGCTTGTGAACATACGCCAGTATGTCTGCAGCTCTACCGGTTCCTTCACATACTACCACTGGCACAGGAGGACTTTCTTGAAGGAAGTCTAAAACTGTGAGTATGACATTGGGTCCACCTTCAAACACCAGTGCTACCACAGGCACACCTTGACCAATTCCTATAAAGTTGTAAAGACACACATAAACCCCTACTTTTCAAATCAATTTAAAAAAAAAAAAAAAAAAAACCTTTGTCAGTTTATATGAAAACGTAAGCATTCAACATGAAGTATTTCATCAGGTCTGGCAAAATAAGTTTTTAACGTCAAATTACAGGAGAGGTGTATACTAACAGATGGCTAACATTTGTAGGTCAATACATAACAAACAAAATAATGACAAATAATGTCTCTTATCTACATAAAAGCAATAACAAAGGTAGACATTTCACATATCTAAAACGCAAAAATACATTATCTTTCAAAATATCTGCTTTTCTTGCTTGGGAGTTCTAGATATAGTCAAGCACTATTATTTCCACACTCTCTTTCTCTTTTATTTTTTTTTAAGTAGAGATTAGATACATACACTTTTACCAGCCACAGCTACAGCACAGCTATTTTGCTAGCCATTCGCACTGCTTGCCTTTTCAGCTCTTGCCTTCTGCTTACACCACTCTGTTCTAGGTACATGTCACTGGTTCGTTCTGAAATGTCAGATTTTTGCTAGGATATACAGATGTAGGGTTGCCAATTTTCCCACTGCTCTTTGTCAAAGATACGTTAAACAGAAAGCAAGATCAAGTGGGAAAAACAGATAAGATCACGATTACTTACTTGCATGGATCCGTTGCAAATTAATAGTTTTTTCCAGTTCTCTCCGTAATTTTACTTCTGCTCCATACTTTCCAACTGTTCCATCATCCACCAGAATGAAATGGGAATGGAGATTATTTAGGACATTTAATTTACTTAATGGGTTTAACAAGGTTTGATATGGAGCAACCACCTAAGCATAAGCACATAACAGTATGTTTTACTTTAAAGACGCAAATTAGTCTCTGTGAAACTTAACTATTTGTCTAGACACAACAATCAGAGGAAAAACAACAAGCACTAACACATGTAAGTATGCCTTGGGTCAAGATACACCACAAGCCGGAGCTAGCTATGTAACTTTGTGCTTGAAAACAGGCAACTATATCACAAAAGAATTCAGTTCTGAAGCATAATACAGAAAAGGTTCCTTGAAAAGGAGTCTGTCTACAAGGAAAACTTGTGACGGCTCTGGCAAACATTAGCCTGGAAGATTCAGCATCAAAAATTTTCAATTTATTATCCTTTGTAAATGCAATTGCTCCATAATACTTCAGCATTTTTGCTATTTGATTCACTAGTATCAATAGGGAGAGGGGAAGGGTGGGGGAGAAAAATACTTGGGAACAAGCTCCTCCTCCAGTGTATTTGCATTTTGCAACTTGTTTACCCTAACAGTCTCGCCTGAGGTCACAGATGTCAGTGTACCTTCACAGTAATGCAAGCACTCCAATGTTGCAAAGGTAGTGAAAAAACATGCTTCAGCAGATTTAACAAAAAAGGAAGTCATGCAGATAATTATTTCAATTAGATAAACTTATCCTTACATCTCTTCCAACAAGGTCATTTCTGTTTTCAATTACTCCCCATGGAGCAATCCCAATAGTGCAAATCTTTCGAGATGATCTGGAAGCATGTTCTCTTAGAGCATCACCAACATGTTTTGCAACACCTGTTTGCACACAAAAACAATTCCAACATATTGGATACCACGTCTTATTAACACTAACTTTAAGAAATACACCGATTTTATTAATTTGGCCCATTAAGGAGCTGAGAATTCATTTTACAGAACACCAAAGAAAAAGCACGTATACAATGCACAACACTTACTACTAGAAGGAGACAAAGCACCACATATTAGTAATGCAACAAAATAAGCATTAGCCTAGAGAGAACTAAAAGACAGCTTCCAGTACATTATTGTACTTGCTTTAATCACAAATAAAACAATAAGAAATTGCAGTTTGACTCCCACAGTTTGAACACGATTGTGGCGTTTGCCCTCGAGGGACAATACAGCAGCCCATTTCAAGCTGCATATGTTCAAAATATATGATAAAATATTTTAATTTCACCTGACCAAACTAAAACTGGAAAAACACTTTGCTTTAAGATAAAGCTAGGCATCCATTAAATCTTTTGGCTTTTATAAGCCATAATCCAGTTAACTGTGCACACTCATTTGTACCTTCCTTACCTGTGTTAACTCCTCCAGTTATAATCCAGGCTCCTGTTGTTACTGCAGCTTTAATAAGACCTTTGCCAAGCAACTGCTTGATGCGTGGGTGAAGTTCAAATTTCTGCATGCCCCCATGTACAGAGATAACAAGCTTCGGCAACTCCATCTGCCATTCTTTAAGCATAAGCTGCAGAATAGCTTCAGGCTTAGTGTCGTATGACAATCGCACGTACTGAAGACAAAAGAAAAAAGTTGAGTTAAAGGGTTCTTACAAGAAACCATCACTCAATCAGTGAGGAAAAAGAACAACTGGAACGTATTTCAGGAAACATTTTCCTAACTCAGGCTACAGAAGATTTAATTTATTTCCATGAAACATGGCAGATGCACTAAATGGACAAGTTTACATTATACCCTCCAAAATTAAGGTCAAGACAGTTCATAGTTTTGAAAGCAAGTTCGGGAAAGGGGAAAAGGCTAAAGAAATATGCTGTTATTCTATTCTCCTGACACAGTACCATAGAAAAATGAGATTTTATGAAAGCATTGGATCATTTCTAAGTTGGATAAAGTTCAGAAATACTCTTAAAATTTCTGCCATCTACTGGTGAAGCTTGCAGGTCTCATGTGAAAGGTCTTACAGAAATACAAAGTTATTTGCTTTTCAAAAAAAAATTTTTTGGGGAAAAAAAGCTACATTCTTTAATACAAACCTTCAAACCTAGCAGCTTTTTTTTTTTTTTAAACTGGCTGTGTTTGATAGCTCAAGATGAAGTGGTCAGTTCATCAGCTAAGAATCCTTCTATGTCCCTAATATGGACTGTTCGAAACAGGAGGGGGAATTATACAAAAATTAAGCCCTACCTTGATCACGTTCCAACTAAAAACATCACTATCCCAGTAAAGTGGTTTTAGCAACCCCACTGGCGCTCAGCGGATGTGAGCATAGGCAGCTTGCTACATCTGTACTTCTAGAAATGGATTCTCAGCAATTTTAAGGTATACTAAATGTATGAAGGAACACATATACACACACACACACACACAAATGTGAAAGAATTCTACTAGCAGCCCTTCTCTCCATGGGGACGATCGAGATGGTCCTTAGGAGGCTCTGTTGGTGGCATAGAGCATGCAGCTCCCTCTCTCAAGCACTTCAGTTTGGTTATAGGAGTTAAACTATCAGAACTCTTCCCAGCTTAAATCTGCATGAGCATTAAACAACTTTACCATGATATCAAGTCTTTCACAAAATGGTTGTGGAAAAAACGTGTCAGAACTTCCAAGTTTCTGGCCTTTCCATTAAGCAGGCATCTATGAATTAAGTCTCCTTTTCTAAAATTTCAGTTTATCAGCATGCTTGTTTCTAACAACAACAACGATGAGCGCGCGAGAGTGTGCACACTAACAGCCCCCCACCTTAATTAATCTGATCAGTCTGATTAGGTTTTTAGAATGTTGAACAAATCTAGCAAAGAAGCATATTCTCCATCTGCCTATAATTTTAAATGATTTTTCCAAGTTTGAAAATTTATGAATATAGAGTTAAATAACAGATGTTATTTAACAGGTGTTACAAAAACGTAACAGTAGTGAACAAGCACCACAGATGAGTAAGCTGTGTTCCAGGTAAGTCTGAAACAATATAAGACTGAATTCTTAATGCAATGTTTTGCTGAAATGATTGAAGAATGAATTCTTATCACGATTTGTAATTTGCAGTGAAGCCTGCACATGAAGCCAATTAATTCTCTGAAAAGTCTGAGTGACTTGTTGTGAAAAATAAACTAAAGGGAGAATTCAAATCACAATAAAATTACTAGAATGACAGAAGGCACTGCTTTATCACAACAGAGCTCCAGTCATTTTCATTACATGAAAGCATCCACCACCCGTTATCAACATGTTTAGAGAAGAAAAAAGAAAAAAAAAGTAAAGGTCATACATGCCTTAGCCCTGTAAGAATGAGAGCCGCCTTGAAAGTTGATGACACCATAAGCATCAGTAGGAGTCTGTTCTGTATGTTTTTCCACTGACCATTCTTCTATTTCCTGATTATAGTTTTCACCCAGCTTCACATCGGAGTATTTCATAGCAAGACTTGCAGTAAAACAGGCATGTTGTCTGACCAAGCGGCCACAACAGCACCTACAGCAAAGCATATCATTTAGAACACTTGAATGAATGCTATCGTTAGAAGATGAGAGAAAATGTATTTTCTCTCTCTTTTATCCGTATTTTAACAGAGATACGTTAGATTTACACCTGAAAGCAAAGTTTCTAAGCATCATGTAAACCTCTTCCTTAGAAGAAGCCTTGTTGCCTTAAGTATTTAAAATGAGGATAAACAATACAACACACAGTTATTATGCAAAATATTCAAATTCTCTGACACAGCAAGTTAGAGGCCACAATATGCTATGAATAGTCAGGACACAGAAAATCACAATCGACTCTTGGAGGCCAAGTACTTTGTCCTTTTTATAAATACATGATCCAGGTATTGCAGACAGTTTTTTTTTATTTTTTTGTTTTTAATCTTCTAACCTTTCACTGACTTATTTGCAATACTGATCAAAACTTTTTAGAATCCCATTACAAAAGCCCATTTTTAACGGAAAAACATTAATAAAGAGTGAAGAAGAACTAAAAGAACTCTTACCTGACAAGCTGCTGACAAATTTGACATCCTGGAAGGCATCTATAAGAAATACCAGTTAAATACATGAGTTAGCTCCAGTTAAAAAGTAAATAGGAAAAAAAAAGTCATACTTCTCATGTACTTACACAAAGATTATTGAACAAAAAGATCTACAGTAATTGGAAAACGTGCTGTCAAAGTCTGCCCCATTTTTAACAAGGTAACTTGTCTGTCCTAATTTTACATGACTGTAGTACACCTGGCAAGTGAAAAATGCATAACCATGAAAACTTCAGTCTTGTAGCTTTAAATTGGTTTTCAGGCTTTGAACCACCAATATCTGAAGCCTAAGGATATTTTAGACTCAATTAGCTGCAATACTCTCAAACTGAAACATTTAGGTAGATGCTGGGAAGTTACCTACATGCTGGCATTTTCTTTCACTCAATGTAGCTACACACTGCTGCATCTATTCTACAAATTGATACCTATTGTAAATCCAAGCTGAACTGCATGGGTGGGGGGGGGTTGTTATTTGATCATTGCTAAGTTGCATGTGGAAAAAAAGATATATTTGAATAAACTTTATATAGTCATGTCTTTACACAATGAGTTTATTACACTAAAAAATTTCTCATTTCTACCCTCTTCCACCTTAAACATTTTCTTTGTTTTCCTGCTAACAGCTTTATCAATGTTTAAAGTTAACATAGCAGTTGTTTATATTGCTGTTTTCTGCAATTTTCAAAGCAGTGTTAACCATTCACTAGTACGGGAGCGCAAATGTGCGCAGACAAAATTGCAGAAATTACATAGTAATCTTAAACTGTTTTCAGACTTGGAGCATAAACAATTTCTTAATTCTATCCTCTTTAGAAATTATAGTCTACTGTTAATTATTTAGGTTTTTAATATTAAACTAGAGCTTAAAACCTTCTCTGGCAATTACTAAAGCATAAATACCTATCCTAAAAGGCAAGGATCAAAAAACATTGCCCAAATATGACATTTTGGATTTTGCCTACATTTGATTCAGTTATGCGTAATTCAGGACAACAACATGGGATTCTTAGAAACTGAAGGAAAAAATCTGATGGGAAAGTTGTAAGTTCCCTTTCATGCTACACATGGGTTAAACTAAAAGGGCAAGCGCTGAAGATCATTTTGTTCCTTGGGAAATGCTCTGGAAATTTTAACAGCTTCCTAATTACTTCGTTTGCATTTGCAAATTTTCCATGTGCTACAATCACGGCCACAAATTCTAAAAGCTTCCTCAGGTCACACGGTTTTAAGGAATGCGATGAATAATTTACAGTAACTTAGAAATTCGAAAGCGTTTACTTTGTTCTTTTTATTCTGTCTGAAAACAAGTTCCTAAAAGAAAAAAAAATACTATTCTGCCTTAATGTAACAAAACGTGATTGTATTCAATATTTTAATGGAAAAGCTTAAAATAGAACTTTTCTCAGAATACACGAAGCTAAGGAAAAAAAAATTCCACTATCTGAAAGCTATAGTATCAATAATTTTAACATTTTGAGATAGACAAAACAGCCTTAAAATACAAACTGTCTTTAATTCATACTAGTGACCCAGATGTTATGACTATGCACATCAAGTTTGTTCATTGTAGGAACTCTTAAATTACACCTATGACATTTAGTGAAGGTGAATTCTACAAGTAAGAAATGCTAGAAGTAACGCTCAGTTGCCTGATTTCTAGTATCATGCACCTAACTCAGGAGAAGATAAAAGCATCTAAGAGATTTTTAAGTATTCTTCGCTAGTCTCTGCTTCCCCTCTAAAAACTTTTATCCCCATTTTTTACCCTCACTGCTTTCTTACAGATGAAATTTGACTAGATAGAATATTTGGATATCCGTTTTTGTTTTGTTTTGTCTTCCCTGGAAGCAAAGCTTTCTTCAGCCTTTGCTTTGTATCTATTATTAGTCTCATTCTCTTCAGAATACCCCTTTTTCCTCCTTCTTTCTATGAATTTTTCATCCTTTCTTACATCACTGTCAGCTTTATTTTCACACATCGCTGTTGCACTCGCATTGCTGTTCTTCAAACCTAAACATAACCCTTATAGCTCTATGGGACCTTCTGACTTCTCAGAAATACTCCACACAAGAAAGAAACAACAACAACAAAAGAACATACAAACAAACAAACAAAACCAGAAAACACCCACTGTAGGCACACCACTGACGCACCACTAGAGCAACTGGTTAAAAGCAGCAAAGGGAATAGGCAAACACTTAACAAGAGATTTCTGCAATGACAAGAAAAAAGAAGAAAAAAATCTAAGATAGAGACACACACAGAGACACAGTGAGACTGCCCAGACACAACGGACTGAACTAAAGACAGTATTTTGCTACAGACTGAGTAGTTAGTCCAGTACTCTCTTACAGCACTTTTTCAGTTTAAAAAGTAACAGTGAATTGTTACATCATTTCCAGCTTACCTGTGGGGGTCTTTTGAACTTGGAATAATATATACACACTCCCTCTTGGTGAAAGTATTTTCTATCCAGGATTTCTGGGACTGAAAAAAAAAAAAAGTTTAACAGTATTATAAAATACAAGTTAAATTATCATTATATGCTTTGCTGTCTCCCAAAAACTAACAAAATCATATATTACCCTACAACGGCATCTAACGCCGGTCACCTAAACCTTGAGGTAAGCACAACCATAATTAATCAACTCCTTTAATAAATGCCATTTATTACAATACATAAATCCCTTAAAATCTAAAGTCATATTTCCAAAGCTAACAATTAAATGACAAAAATCGCTCTTGTAATATGCAAATTAAGATGTATAAAGATGCAAACAGGAATTCAAAATACACTGTTTAGCTAATTTGTCAAGGGGGGGGGAAGGTAAGATTAAAAAAATAAAAAATGTAACACTACTATACACTCAAATAACAGCACTTTCATCTACCTCTTTAATAAAGTAAAACTTTCATCTAGTGCAGGTAAAAAAAAAAAGTCTAATAACACTGTCAATCTTTTCTAGTGACCGTACATCAGGACAACCTTTGTTCTTCATCAAGAAACTTTTCATTTCAATAAAAAAAATGTAATTAGCATCACTCTAAGATGTGTTTTGAGCTTAAACCTGAAAGATATTCTGAAACTTACAACGGAAGATGTTTACTTCATCACACGCTTACCTATTTTAATAGCTGGCCACTATTTCATTTGGGTTGCTTTAAACAATCACGTAACATTGTCTTACGAGAAAATCTCAAGACTACTCGCTAAACAATATGCATGATGCCCAATGTCTATGTCATCTTTCAGCAATACATTGGGAAAGGAACTCGGATGCGATTTTTAGTAATCAAAAATAGGAAGAAACTTTGGGAGGTTGATTTGCACCTTATGCAACACTAGTTTAAATCCTAATTAAGATTACATCAAGATTTCTTCATTGCTAATACCACGTCTAGTTTTAAATTCACATTTTACTTTTATAATTTCTTTGAGAAATTTTATATTTTTTCTAAGGAGAAAAAAAAATGACTGATGTGTATTATTCACAGATATGTGAGAGAGAGTTCACTATGGGAACTATGAATTAAAGATTTTTAGACCTGTTATAACAGAGGATTCAATAAAGACATCTAGTCTTTCATCCGCTGCAACGCCAAGATCAATTTAACATAACACAGAGAAGCTATTACAGGTAGGACTACCAATTAGTTTCAATAAAGTCCCCTGGAAAACTGGTCCTCAGCTGCCTGCCCTCTTTCAAAGCACTTCCCATATTCAGCAGTCTTTCCCACACTACTCCTCATGACCTCCCTCCAACATTTTGTCCTAGCAAAGTTTGGTTGTGAATCTGTCAAGTCAGTACCCAACTGTGGCTCTAGCGGCTGTCCTCTCGTTCAGAGGGCCACCAGTCTCTTCTGGGGAGAACGGGAAGGTGCAGGTACGGGCTCCCACTCTCCAAGAGAGAAAGAAGAAAGATGGGAGAAAGGAAAGATGTACAATCCACAACAGAGAATGACTGCAGGGCATGCCAGAATGAGCACCCACACCGTGTTTTATCATTTACATTTACATTTTCAACACCTGGAGTGGACAATCATGGCCGCTGTTCACTGCCCTCCTATCTCCAGTCCCCGCAGAACAGAAAGAAGGCTGCTGTAAAGGAGAACTGCCCTCCCCCCCCACCTCGCAACCAGAGCGGAGGCTTCAAGTGACCAACTCCTAACAGCCCAGTGAAAGGGGAGACTTCTTCCACTGTTGTCCTCAGCATTCATACATAACCTTTTAGCAGTCTTCAATTCACACACTGTCTTTTAGTAGCCTTCTCCTCAGTTCTTGGGTAGGGAGAGAGAAGCACATCCCTTTGCACACATAATCTGCATATTTCCCAGGACATCTGCTCCTTATCTGCAGCTGCGCTCAGAACAGCATCATCTCTTCTCTACCTTCTATCACAAGATTAGCAGTGTTACACACATATATGCCAATTTTTTTCTGTTTATATGAATAGGCATACAGTGGCTAGCCCAAGTTTCTAGCTTCCTTCTCTCATAGTTGTTTGTTTGTTGGTTTTGGTTTTTATTTAAACGTTGTAGTAAGCCCATATGTTCCCCTTTGTGTCCTACAAAAAACCCTCTTCCGGAAGTTGCTTGCTGCTCAGCCAAGCGTCCCAGTCGTTCATACGGTCTATATTTCTGCACTTCCTTTCTTAAAACAGAGCTCTTTGTATAGATCGTTGCTTCAACACTGCAGTGGTTTAAGCTTGCATATAAACTCTGCTCATCTTGCACAATATAAGATAGAGTAATTTAATATTTAAATATTTTAGTCAGCTCACTAAAACCACATCTCGGAGCAAGCCATCACAGGCCTAACATGACAGATATCGAAGTCTGAAGTATTATAAACCACAAGTAATCGCATCTGTGCTCTCTACGTCCACGAAATATCGCTTATTATTAAGTGGTGATCAAAGCTGGGAACAAGGAACACTAGTTTACAGCATACAACACCAGTTCTCATAATAAACGGTTCTGAAAATAAAATGTTAAAAATATACACCAATTAATTCTTCGGATTTTAAAGAATACACGGCGATGAAGGATTTTTTTCATATATATTTTCCAATAGGGCAAGTATTTTCAGTAGAGCATGAGTACATCTATACAAATTATGTGGAATAAGTCCTATACTGTTATTAAAACATACTTGGAACTTTTCATTTGGTAAAACTAGACTTTCTCCAGAAGCACTCCTGTACTCTGATTCACCCTGATCACAGGAGATCTTACACAGAACTTGCTAATAACTAAGGAGAGAATAATGAAAATGAGACATCTCCGATAAATGTGTAAAGATCACATTAAAAAAAAAAGAAAAAGTAAAAAGAACTGATACATGGTATTATTCTCTATGTAATAACAGTTGCTATTTACAGAACGTCCCTGTGATGACCAGAAGGAGCGTGATGCCTAAGACACTTGAGATAAATCAGCTACAGGATAGACTAAGAAATACTTCCTTATCAGCAAAAGGTTTCACTCAGGAGTCAGAATCAATATTCAACTTACCAGACTTTATTTAAAACAAAACAGCCCACTCTGTTTTTTGATCGTTCCTACAGCATACACAACATACACACACAACCACACCTCTTAAATTTTCTTCCAGCAGTCAGGCAACTTGTGCTGATAGCAGTGGTGATGATCTGTTTTGCTGGTGTTATTTTAAGAGGTGTACTTTACATGAATGCAACAGCTCTGCAGTGTTGCAAAAAGTTCAGATTTTAGGAAAAAACTTAAGAAGTAGTATAAACATCAAATGGGGACTCTCAACTATTTATTTTCTCTCCTTTCAAACTTGCATCTTACAGACAAACAAAAAGCTTTCCATATTCTCTCCCATGCATTTCAAATCTGCCCAACTAAATAAATACTCAAGATTCACAAGAAAAAAATATTAATACAGCTAATAATCCAGAAAGACCTTCATTGTTTTTTTCCCTTCAGATGGAAGTTACGTATGAGAATTTCTCCACTCTAAGACCTCTAGTATCCAAAGTTGGCAGGATCACGTCTGTGCTCCACACAAAACCTGCAATATCTCTTACTTTTCGCAAGCTGTATTACAGGAACCTACTAACTCCTAGCTCTGAAGTGGCCAACATTGTTTTTGCTCAGTCTTCAAGCTGTAGACGGTTATGCAAGACCCCTTATTCTGGTTCCACTGATTTTTGGGTAGACAGTAAAGCCCACTGTGTCTTTCAGTACTTCTGAAAGAACTTCAGGAAACAAAAAGCACATAGATTTGATTCAATAAGCCAGAACAGATAAACTCGTGCCGGGATCATGACTAAAGGAAATACTTTAAACTATTTCCAATAAATAAGTCCTTTCATAACACACTCACAAGGGCTAGAACAATTGTAATTGCTATTTGAAACAAAATCTTATTCAAGTATTTGCTGAACTACAAACGCAAGAGAACATGTCTGAATTGGAGCGCACACAGCAGTGTTTCCAGATTTCAGAAAGTATCTAAATGCCCAAAAAAACCCACAGCTTTTTACGACAGGTAAAAACTTTCCCGTAACAGTTTTCAGTATTAGTTATTTTTGCTTCAGCAATAGTATTAGCTCTCCCAAACATCACTTATAGAAATAAAATAAATTAAGTATACCTGCTGAAGATAAGAGGAATTCCTTATGTTACCTTTACCGAAATTTATGACGGATATTTCTAGCAAGTCTCCTTGTAGACTGAAACTCTTAACATAAAGTTAACTATAATTGGAGGTTTTATATGTAGCAGGTTACAAACAAAAAGAAGCAACACAGTGTGAGATTAGGTCTCAACAAAAAAAAAAAAATTCAATCACCCTCCTTCCCTTCATCTAACGTAGTGTTCATAGAAGACTCCTATTCAACATACTAAATTAATAAAAAGCTTTCAATAAGCTCTGGCATGGCTGCAATTGATGCAAAATGGCATGGCAATGCCTTACCAAACTACAGTGGAATTATTTGAGTTTATTCAACAAATTTGTCTGAATCATTTTCTACATAAAAAGCAAGCTTCCCTACTTCACAAAATCTCAAAATAACTTGCATGACTTAACAAATCTGTTAATATGGCAGTTGTAAATATACTAGTATAGGCAACAACCATGACCTTGTTTGGGTATAAAAGGATTCATTTCACCTCTCTGCTCATTTATTTGTTAATGATACTGCATGTTATCGGAGGCTTGTGAGTTATGGAATAGCTGCTACAAAACTAATTCTAAACTTTTCCCCAAAAACTTAACTCTTGAACCTGCAACATCGTATATCAGCCTAGCAGTTCTGCTGACAACTTTTCTATAAAACTAAACAGCTGGTTCAGGAAATGGAAATGGACCTGGATTCAAAAAAAAAAAAAAAAGAGAGAGTCCAAACCAAGACCTTGTGGAAGGATGACAATACACTTATCACAATACTGATTGCATAGATGTTTTCAGCCTTAGTTTCAAATTTAGAAGCAGTAGCAACTTCTATACTA